TTGGACAGACAATCTCTAGCATTTTCTTACTCAGCGAGCTGAGAGGAAGCTATGGTATAGACACAACTTGGGTTCATGTCCCTGGGTCTGTGCCTCTTGAGCCCTCTGGTGGTTGGCAAGTCCTTAAACTCCTCACCTGACAAAGGAGAAAAATGGCCCCAATGATGACAAACATTGTGTGCCTCTGTATTTCTCATTTTGACAGTTATTGCTCAAACAAAACATGTAGCTGCCAAATAGGACATTTCTTAAACTGAATATTTAATGACTTTGCTTACTTGGAGTTACCACATTTTCTGGCTCCCTCTAGGGTTTTAGAATCCCTAGGTTTAAAAAAGTCTTGAAGGCTATCTAATAAATTTCTGTTTGCATGACAAAACCTCCATCCAAGTAGCTGTACATGTTAAGCTTGAAAAACTACAAGAAAACCAGCCTTTCCTCTCTTTGTTGACTAATGTTTACATACAGACCAGAGAATCTTTCTTACCCCCTGACTGTATTTCTTTGTTAACAAAACAAAACAAGTATTTTTTCAACTTTTCTTTGAGGGCTCAAGGGAATGTCACCTGGCCACTAAAGTCCAGAAAGCAATGGTACCTTGCAGCTCATTACTTGGGATATCACAAATAATGCCAAACCTTGGTGTGCCCAGACTCCACTCCCAAGATTATCATTCACTAACATTCTGGGCAACTCTTACCTTCTAGTAGAAATAAGCAAATAATAATATAGGCCAGACAGGATTTATTAGGAAAGGTCCAGTCCCATCCCATAGTATGTATTCACAGGCCACATGGTGAAAAGGAAGAGCATGGAGTCAGGAGTGAAGATTCCTGGTTCTGGTCACACCTGGGAGCCATTCTGTGTGACCACATCTTCTGGGCCTCATTTTTTCCATTGGAGGTCAAATAGATGATTTCCAAGATTCTATTCTAACTAATCTCTGTCTACAGACAGAATGACTACAGGCCTTGTAATATCATTAATCATCAAGACAAGGGGGGCAATGCTTACTAGACTCTACCTACTAAGAAGGATGAGGAAGTCAGTCATTTCATTGGTGCCCAGCCTTACAGGGCTCTTGGAGATTGTCTGTTTTAATTGCCCATTTTATAGACTAGGAAGGTGAGATGCAGAGAGCTTAAACAAATTTCCCAAGATCATGCTGCGAATCATTAGTAGGGCTGGGACTAAAACCAGGTGTTCAGACCACAGCTTTCACATCGTAATGAGCTAGTAGTGGGGCTGAGAAGGAGCTGCCTTTGAAATCCCAAGTAATCAGAAAATGTGAGTTTTCTCTCTCTAAATTTCCCCACTTTCCTGGTAACTAATGAAGTGCGCTGGATCTCTGCTCCCACATGAATGGTCCACAGAGGACAGGACTCCTATTAAGAGGGGCTGTGCACCCAGCACTCTGCTGATAACTGGAAGGTTGGGAAACTTACCTATAATTTCAAAGCCAGAGCTCCAAATCCCTGTCGCACTAGGTGGGGGGTTGAAACAGAGCATAACCATCCTGTTGCCTGGGTGTCCCTCCTCCAACCTGTCCCCCACTTCTAAGACAACAACCTTCATCAGTCCAGCTGCAACAGTGCATCTGTCTATTCCTGCTGCTTTCTCACTAACTGATTAGAATACAGGTGGTTTTCCTCTTGCAAAATTAAAAGGAAACATTAGAGGGATATAAATCCAGACAGAAAGGAATATGATGATTAATAAAACACGTGCAAACAGAAAAGCTGCACGTGGGGTTTGCAGTCTGAGGAAAGAGAGGGGGCGTGCTGAATTCAAAACACTTGGGTTTGATTCTCCACATGCATTTTTCTTTTTTTGGATTCCTCTCTCCCTCTGTTAGGATAACAGTTGTGTTTCTTGTAGCTGAGCCGACACAGGAAATCAAATACTTTGTGTTTCTATAAACTATACTTCCCAGAGAGATAACACATTTAGAATTAAAACACTAGCACAAACTATTAGGAATTTCTGATTGTTACAGGTGTTGTTAAAGGACTCCAGTAGCAAAGTTCAAAGTCTCCGAATTTTGCCGTTGGAGAAGGGGGTTTCGTTTCAGACATCAAAGGTAAGGCTCTCAAGTCAATTTATGCTCTGCTGGGTTAAGTCAGTCATGATACAAATTAAAGTCCATATATTTCAGTGACAAGAAGGAAACGGTTATGTAAATACACAAGTATTAACATCAATCTGTATTAAATTATGTAAACATATACATCTTCTGAGGTCAGCACATAGATCCTCTTCTTTGAGCAGAGCTCTACTGAAGCATTGCTCGAATCTGTTTGGAAGTCGATTCATCATTCAAGTGCTTTGTAGTAAACCTGGAAGGAGAGAGAAAGATGGAGGTCAGCCTGCAAGGAGTCTCTGCGAAAGCTTCCATAATGACTCTCCAGCCCATCTTTACCTTGAGAAACACAATTGATATTTATGAATCATATGTGGCCTTAGTTCTTTAGACAAAGAGTCACTCTTCGATGCTTACAGTCTTCTCGGACAGATTTAATATTTGATTCTTCCTTCTGAAGAAATTCTGTATTATGGTTATTAAATCATTTTTTTTTTTTAACTTAATCAAATAATTGCACGAAGGAATGATAAGCAATCTCATTTCCCAGGGAACTAGAATTCACATGATCGAGCGTAGAATCAAGGCTATCCCCGCTGAGTCACAGATTTCAAAATGTGGATTTGCACACCAACATTACCCAAAACTTAAACGTTTACGGCTCCTGGCTTTCATGGCAACGCTTATCCCCATTTCTACCACTAGGGGGCATAAATGCAGGTAAACAAACCAAAAGAAAAAAAAAAAAAAAGAGGTGCAATCAACAGCCTCTCATTCACTTAGTGTAGACAAAGTTTATGCAAAGGAAGGAAAGGAAAATTAACATCTAATAAAACCTTGACTATGTCCTAGGCACTCCTAGTAAGTTTTCACTTCACTCAAAATAACTCTTTGCAGGCAAGGTTACTGCCTTCACTTTACAGATGAGAAAATTGAGATTCAGAGAAATTTGATTAAATTAAATGACCTATTCCAGGTCACAAAGCTGACAATTTGTGCTTTGTGAACAATCTGTGGTTTCTGACTTGAGCCTAGATCTGGCTACCTCGAAAGCCTGTGCTCTTTCCACAGTGTATTCAGGAGACAGAAATTCCAGTACTCAGATGAGTCTCATGGTCTAACACAGTGCCCTGATCTCCATGAAGTTTTGTTTGATTTAATGAAGCTGGAAACTTTAAAAAACTCAGAAGTTAAACTCTTCTTACTGTGTATAGAAAGCCAGCCTGGTGCGAAATGGGAACCAGTGGAGAACACATTGGCTTATCCATAGACTCC